CTTTCCTGAACTCTTAGCATGTTCTAAATGGCAATTAAGTATGTCCTTTGGGTTAATGAATTGATTATTATAATAATAGTGGTGTGTCCCTCACAGCAGGACAGTTCAGCTATGAATCCTCAGGACACTGTAATCCAAGACTATGATGAGATATGCAAGATTTTATGGGCCCCCAAGGGTCTAGCACTGGAAACATTTGTCCATGCACAGGTGTTACAGGACTTTGTATGCTTAGCGTCTTGGTTCATTTGTGGCCACCAAAACTGATGGGAGATCTGACTCAGTGTCTTGGTACCAAAGTGCACAGTTGTAGCAGCATCATGACACTGTTGCAGAACTTCCATCCTTGGTTACTCTTCTGTGACCTACATGCCTATGGTACAAGAATTCATTGTGGATTTGGAAGTCTGACCAGGTGAGGGATCCTGGATTATGCAACTATTGTTGGTCATATTGATTTTGTGTACAGGTGCTGCAAATGGAGGTGGTGCTCTCCCCTATCCTGGAGGTCTTCAAGAGGAGGTTGGATAGATATATGGCTGGGGGAGTATGATCCCAACACTTGTTCCTGCCCAGGGCAGGGGGTCAGACTTGATGATCTGTTCAGGTCCCTTTTGACCCTAGAAACTATGAAACTATGAATGAAAATCACAGTTCATGGACATAAATTAGGGCAGTGGTTCTCAACCATTTTGGACTCAAGACACCAAAGCACCCCTCTATAACTTTTGTGAATTGAGTGGCACCCAATTTCAAAAACTAATTCATGGATTTCAGAGCTTATTTCCATGCAGAGGGGCCTGGCAGTGGGAACTGGAGATAGTCTAGGCAGGACAGGTTAAGAGAGCAGTTGAGGGCTGTGGGGTAGGAGTGGAGGGGCCATGCTAACCTCTACTCAGGGCTCACTTCTCCCTTTAGCACCCTCAAATGGCTTCTCTTTTCTGGGGCATGCAGCCTCTGTCCTCTGACTAGTCAATCTCTCTCCCTGGAGTCTTCTGTACTGCCCCCCACCCCGAGAGACTTGACAGTTCGTTCTCTGGGCTCTCCTGTGCTAGCCCCATAATCAAATACTTAGTGCCTTCCCTTGGCTCCTGCCATGGTCCCCTTCTCACTATAGACATGCGCATAGTGCCTATGCGTTGGGGCTATACAAACTAAAATCAAACACATTCACACACTATAGGTTCTTAGTCCTCATTGCTTTATTATTTTCTTTTTAGCTAAGCATCCAGAAATAAAGTTCTAGAAGCAACTTTTTTGTGCAGGACCTTTATGCCTGTGTACAGAAAGCCTTTTGAAAATCTTGAGTGTAATTTTAAGAGGAATTAAGCGAGTCAAAAGGTTCTCTATTCTTTAATGGGCTTGTGAGGCTGTGCCACGTGTTTGCTGATGCTTGGATGTTGACATTTTACCACTCATTATTTTCTGTAGTAAGTTTGAGTAGGGTGGGCTGCAAGTTTTCCATCAGAGCATATTTCCATTGGAGAAATGTTGATTTAATAAAAAAATCAGTATTTAGAAGTAAATGCCAGTTTTGACAAGCCTTCAATAGAAACCAGGCAGGCAACAGAGATCAAGGTTCCCAGGTTTTCATTTTGGAGGCAACCAATGAGTGGGCCTGATACGTGGTTGAATAAATCCCAAATTCAGGTCTAGAAGGATTTTTTTCACCAAGTCAGATTGACATGGACCATATCTGCCTTCCTCTGTAGCACAGAACATGGTCCTCTTCCTAAGGTAAAATATACTTGGATAATCCTAACTAATTTTCTGCAGCTGTGCTGTCAAGATACTACCAATGCCCTTTTCTTCCCTGCTCTTTATTTTAGGTCAGCATTTCTCAAGCTACAGGATTCATAGTTGGGGGCTTGCAAGAGACTCCTGGGGCCCTCTAACCTTAGTGGGAGACATTTTAATTATAGCATCCATTGGTGGTGCTCCCATACTTCAGTTACTCTCATGCACCCCCCCACCCCCCTTCAGCTGCCATGACATACCTTCTGAAATTTAAGTTCTCATTGCATGGGAAATTCCAAGGTATCCAGTCAATTCTCCCAGGCAGTCTTACAGATATGCTTGTATCCTGAATGTAGGACAGTGCTATAAACCATGCACAAACTCTTTGCAGGACTTCAGCTAGGGATAGGAGTTCAATACCAGCAATGTGAATTTCTGGGCAAATTGCTGTGTTGGAAAGTCTGGTGAGAAGAGGGAGCATACAGGCACTCCAGGCCCTTGGAAGGAGAGAAACAAAGTCACCTCAAAGTTGAGCTCTCTAGCTAGGGGTGGCAGGCAGCTGTCTCTTTGCTCCCCCTACCCCTATGACAGATAGGATGCCTGCAGCTGATGCCATATGGGTGAAGCTGGGGGAAGGGTGTGCTCCCTGCTCTCTCATCAGGTGAACTGGGGTTGTGTTCATAATTTGTCTCAGGGCAACAACTGGGGCTGTCAGGAACATGGAACAGCACCAGGGAACCTAGCTTATTAGTACCCTTTTAACAGGCCTGGCTTCACTGGAAAGTTAGTTGCTATTTAAAAGGCATCAGGAAGCAAGGCTGTTTCCAGGGTTTCTGCAGGACGGGAAACGGCTCTGCTCACTG